TTGCAAGTATTGGTGTCAACTCATTTAACAGACGATTAAATGAATTCACATCGATTGCGTATATTGTGAAATTTCCTGCTCGACTTAGCTGAATATCAGAAATTCGTAAGTCCTTTAAATTTTGTTTGATGACGTCATTTAATTGCATCTTGTTTAGCTTCACGCCCTCTAGAATTAGAGGTGCAATACTAAAATTTGATTGCTTGTTTAAGCCTGCCTTTGTTCCTGTAGAATCCTTTGTTTGTGTAGAAGCCTTTGTTCTTGGATTATGACTAATCGCCATTGTTCCTCCAACATCAGCTACTGCTGTTTGACCTTGTTGTGAATTAAATAAATCTTGCCTTTGTTTATTTGCACCGGTTCCTCCTTTTTTTGGAGGCATAATTAAGAGATCACCTGACGTAAAAACACCTGGAGATACTAACCTTAATTAATAATTCCAAAAATAATTTGGAAATTGGGTGTAAAATCAATTAAAAATAAAAAATATAATCGACGAGTTTAACAAAGAAAATGTTCGTAACCGACAAGATAGAATGCGACCTATCTCGACCGAGAAAAATAACGAATGAAATCATATTTAACAGAGATTTTTCACTAACGTATATTTTCAATAAAAACTTACATTTATTTTTTACAATAAACTTCAGTAATGGCTAACTGTTGAATAATCTAAACAAAAAATAACATTAATTATTCACTTCACTTCATTGTCTTACAAACAAAAGAATCTATACTTAGATAAAATAAATAAACGATCAGATGAATATGTCTATCACACTATATCACTATCAGATGTATTGTGATTTCACTATTGTATACTTTCTTTTCAAGTGGTTTGCTTGTTCATGTTATATATACATATGTCGTGGAGCAGTTACAATGCGCGACGAAATTAAAACTTCATCAGACAAATTTGACGAATTTCTAGCTAATTTTTTTCACATTGTCATAACTTCGTCAATTTTGTCCGACAAAGTTAAAAGTTCATCGAATGGTGTAACTTGTCTATGACATACAGATACGTCAGCGTCCAAATTAACATTATATTCAATCGTATATTCGTCTAAGTAAATGTGACAATTGACATTGGGGTACTTGTTTACTTGAGACACAGTACTCTTACCCTCACGCAGTGTTGTGTATGCAAATCATATCTCTCCTGTGTTTAAAGTAAACTAGTACCTTTATAAGTTGCGTCTTTTGCAAAAACAAAAATGTTCTTGTAATACCTAAGCGGGGATAGTTTTCTGGATTTTTTTTTTATACAATTCAATAAAGTTCTTCAAGATCTACAAGAATATGAATATCAACAATTTTCCAGATCCTGTTTCTGATACAAAACTTGGAGACAAGTAGAAAGACTAGTAAAAATCTCATATATCGTGTATTAAAGAAAGGGTGCTTAATTTTCAATACCTGTAGAAAATCGATTAGTTAGGCTGTTTCTGAAGCTCGGACAGAGTACTTTCATCTACAGTACGTGCCAAAGCATCTCAAAACATAAAATAATAGACAGAACAATCGATCTACCAAACTTATTAACAGTTACCTATACTTTTCAATACATGATTTGCCAGAGTTTTAATAGTTTGTCTGATTACTTTCAGAGTTTGTATTCAAACGAGAAAATTTTTTTTTTGGATACCCATATTTTGGTAGAGCTTGTTGAATTATATCTAATCATACAAAAATATCTATCAAGATATATAAAAATCCATATCTCAATCGACTTTGATTATTCAAATATTGCAAGAATATTTTTGTTTTAGCAAAAAACGCAACTTATAAATTTTTCACTCAAAATTAGTAAAATGATCATCACTTTATAATAAATATATGTATTTCTACTGTCTTGTTTTCAGATGATAGCTCTTCTCTTTCTCTACAAAATTATATAATTTGATCAATACTTTCATATGAGTTTGATATAGATATTCTTGATTTACTAAGGAGGGGTCGAAACTTTGTGACCACCCTTTATTAGGGGTCGACCAGATTAGTTCAAGTTCATGTCTGAGGAACTGTTCGAACAGCTCTTTTGAACTGAACTGAACTGGTCGACCCCTACCCTTTATGTTACTCAGTCGATGAATATCGATATAATGCAATTTGCATAAGTCGAAGGACAAACAATACCCATGTTTGTAAATTCCATAAGTGATTTTTTTGCATATTTGTGTGAATGTTAGATATTTCAATTATGGGTGCAATGTTTGAGATAATGTGAACCGTCTCATTTATTTTCGTTTTCATTCTTCAACATGCAAAATAAGCGAATATTTTGTTTTACTTTCTACTAACTGATGAAGACACTAATATTTATTTATTGTTTTTGTTCCTCTTGTTAAAGTAAGGAACGTTCAGCGTATCCGCATCAAAAAATGCAATAGAAAAATGTCTTCTTTTTTACGGTAGAAAATGTTACCATAGCTTTCGACATGGAGTAAGTATGTTCAGCATAGGAAAATAATTCAGATGACATAAGCTGTTTAGTGTCTTTTTTTAATGTATGATTAAGATGTCATCCCATGTCTTTGAACTTTTTCCCAAAAAACAGTAAATAGTGTTGGAGATTTTGGTTTCTGTCCACAAGTATTCTAGAAAGACTTTCAATTTGCTGATTCTACGAAATATAAAAAACTTTTGCATTCTCTTATTTAGGAAGCCAAATCAAGACAGGTGCGAAGATCTAGATGTGATCAAAATCGCGTTTTTTACAATTAACGACAGCTAAATGTAGTGGCAACTTTTTTCCATATTAGTTCTCGAGCATTGATAGCTGTTTATAGAAACAAGTCTAATTTGCCTTATCTTGATTCGAATTTTATATCCAATGCCTGTTTCAATACATGGCAAGCATGGTATACTTTTCTTTATAAAATTATTCATAATGATTTATATTTTTCTATTTTCTGTTTATACTTCTGTTCGGATTTGAAACTAGCAGCACAATGATGTTTTTCGTAAATTAAAATAATTTTTCATTCACAAGTTTGATTTTTGACTGATGAAAACAGAGTTTTCTGATTGTTAAATACAATTGTAAATCAACAAATAGTTGGACAAGCTACATTCAATTTTTTTATGAGATAAAAAGCGATAATAAAAATCAATTTTTATTTTCTAAAATACGAATAAAAAAATGACAAGAGATTATATTGAGATAGAGTAACTACGCTTATTTTGTGTATATATACTGTTATATGAAAACAATCCCTGCAAGCAATAGTTAAGAAAAATGAAAAAGAAAAAGATTTCTTTTTTCTATTACAACATTTAAGTTTGAATTGTATATTATTGTTGAAGTGTAGTTGTTTAGTTAAAGTTATCTTGAAAATGATAAAATTCCCATTTTTAATTGATGTTTACTTAGTTATTGATGACGTTCTTTTCGTCGTTTTAATACGGGAATCAGACCACTTAATAAAATGGAACCACCAATGATTAAATATATGACTGATCAAAACCCGAAAAACATCATGCATTGTGCCTAAAATTAATCAAAATATATTCAAAGAAAATTTTTCTTCGTTTGGTTTTTTTCTTACCAATAATGACTGTTCCTATAGCAACAGCAATAGCTTAAAATATTAAAAGAACATCCAAAGCATCATATAAGTTATCAACACCAACTAAATCTACAATAATAATTGATGTTAAACCAACATAACCACCAGAATAAAATCCAAGTAATCCAGCATAAATTATATGTGTATGAACAAATGAATTATATTGTTGTTAGACCAACAATTATTAATGTTGTATTATATAATATGAAACGATTAATATGAGTATAAAAGAAAAAATTTGTTTTTATATTATCGATTATCGATCACCTAAATAACTGATAATGACTCGATCAAAACAATTAGCTATACCAATAGACATAATAATCGAGCGTCTTTGATATTCAATAACTTTAGTATCAGTAACTAAATCATTAGCAAAATTATATGGAACATTAATATCAGATTTGTTAAAGAATTTAATCCAGCAAATGAAGCATCTTTTAATAAACCAAGATCAATTTGTTCAGCAATGTTGGTCAGAAATAATTGTTTTTTGCTGTATTATTAACAAAATTTACGACGATATTAATATTGATTTTTCGTAACTTGTGAAAAGTTCCATTTCTTTATTCAAGGTAATTGTAATGCTTCAATACAGTTTTTACTAATATTTCTCTTATGAATCTAAAGTATGAACATTCATTTGTCAGTAGTAAAAGAATCAGTCGCTTTGTTGAAGGTATGATAGAAATATTCAATTTTTTCTGTGGTAAAGAAACTTTTGAGCTACCCTATAGCGTAAGTCGCTGGTGACTCACATCGCCTCGAATGTGTTAAATAAAACTATAAAAGAACTATTTTATAATGTATTAATAGAAAATAAAGAGCTAAATAGAAAAGAATAAATATAAGTTCATTCGAGTAAACAAAAAAGATAATTAAGCAGAAATGAATGAGCTTACATTTTATTATATTTTTACTTAAATAAATTGACAAAAAAAAAAGAAAAAGAAAAGTAACACATTTTTTTTATGCAAAAACATATAAAATATTATTCTTGTGAGCCTATTCTTAATATGGATAGCCAACTTTTGAGCAATTATTTCTTGTTTCTAATCTTGTAAAATCGTGTGTTACTCTTTTCAATTGTTGATATTCAATACCAAGTAAAATATTATTTGATAGGAATGTTTTTGTGTCGAATAAAAATTGTTCAATATACCCTAGTGAATGTACTCATCCAGAGAGTACGACTTGCCAGCATGAGTACTCAGATTACTCGAGCGAGTACTCTCAAAAATTCACGAGTATGTAAAATGATTGAGTACTCACATACGTACTCAGACGAATATTTCACTATACATCTACTCATAGGCAAGACGCTAAGTACTCATTGTAGTACTCGTCGTCTTTTTTTCTGAAAAGACTCAATATACAGAACGGAATGTGTTAGGACGAAGAATATGTCGTGCGCTGACTTTCGATGGACGGTAAGTTCACAATTTTAACAAGACAATTTCCTTCTGTGACTGTGACGTTGCAGAGAAGCGGACTTATCCAGAGTCTACGAAGCCCCTCGAAGGGCAACAAACTCGGACTTTAAATGGTCCAGTTGCTACTAACTATAAGAAATGAATGATCGTAGTGCTCAACTAGAATACGCTGCCATGAAAGTAACGATGTGTAGTACTCATATACTCGAAACTCATGGTGAGTACGACCGACGAGTACTCAAAAGTCCCGAGTACTCATGAGTACTCGCGGCATTTTCTAGCGTGAGTACTTTTTGAGTACTCTCTAGGTGAGTACTTTCACTAGGGTAATCATCATGTGCTTCATCAAAATACAATTCGCTAAGATGAGAAAATTCAACAACTGATAAAAATCTTTGTTCATGATTTTTTTTCTTTTGTGGTGTTTGATTATTTAATGATAAATTTGTAATAACTGGAAATGATTTAGAAATTTGAATAAAAAATTCATGTTCAAATGGACATTCATCAAATAATAAAACTTTTTTTACATTTCTAAACAATCCACCTGGAAAATTATTTGTAATGTTATAATAATATTTCATTGTATTTGTACATGAATATGAATAAATGTTACAAGAAGCCATTTGAGAATGAGGATAATAATTAACAGAAGAAACAAATTTTTCATTTCCAATAATTGATAATGTACGTCGAACATCTTCATTTGATGGTAAATTCATTAAATTATCAATAAATATAAATGAATGAATATTAAATTTAAATTTTTTCAAATATAATAAATAATCTAAAATATTGTTTTTTAAATCATTACCATCTATAAATGTATTATTATGATTTATTTGAAGATATAAACTAAGTTGTTCTAAATATGACATTCGACGTACAAGTGGTACAACTAATTCATCATACATGCTTGTGTTTACATCAGATGTTAATGAAAAACATTTTAAATTACATAACTTTTCCTACAAAATAAAATAATTTCATTAATTTATTATAATAAAAATTAATTTACTTTATTATCAATTAATTGATTTGAATGAATAATTGAAACATTAATATAAATTGTATGTAATTTATTGAAGCGACCATCAAACAAATAGATACAATCATCAAAGTTTTGTACACTAATAAATAATTCTAATAATGTTTCAGAAAAAATTTGTTTTCGTAATGACAATTCATTTAATGATAGTTGTTCATCACAAACAAACGACGTTTGAAAGTTTAAATAATATAAATTTTTAAACATATTTAATATATATATAAGTATACGTGCTACTGTATTTTTTGCTATTCTTGGGCTTTTATTTTCAAATGTGATTATAATTGATGATATTTGCTTTTGGAATATATGAAATAAAGAATAGAAACCTAAATAAATAAACAAAACAAAATAGAAAAATAGCTAACGGGTGGGCCAGAATAAATGGCGGTCTCAGTATTTTGACTATAACGTTTTTTCTTGTTGATCTTTAGAGCTGGTTGTTTTACCCAAAGTTGCGGCGTGAAATTCTCTACAAAACTATAACTAAAGTTATTTTCGTAGAAAGTTAAGGAAAAAAGCTAAATGAATATTTTTCAAAACATAAAAAGTGCCTAACTTTCAAAGCTAGCGAGTGTTTCATGCATGCTTGGTATTTGCATACCCTTTTTAATTATCAAGTAGGTGTATTTTAAAAACAAAGTACACCATAAGATGCAGCATGAAAAGCTCTACAGGCTACATTAAAAATTTTATTTTATACATGTACTTTTTATTTTCTAAATGATCAAAATTTTGTGCGACCAGTTTTCAACTCTGCGAAAAAGACCATTTTTTGGTTGCACAATAGTTTGCATATTTTAAAAACAAAAGATGCATGTATATAAAATGACTTGTTCTTTGTAAGTTGTAGAGCTTTTCACACTGCATCTTGTGGTATATTTAATTCTCTTTTAATAGAATATATTAGTGGATACAAAGTTGAAATAAGAAAAACGAATTCGTAGTGTACCAAAAAAATGATCTTGTTTGCAGTGTCGAAAACTGGTCACACAGAATTTTGATCATTTTGAAAACAAAAGGTGTACATATAAAATAAGGTTTTTAATGCAACTTGTAGAGCTTTTCACGCTGTATCGAATAGTATATTTTGCTTTTAAAATATGTGTACTAGAGGAGAATAAAAAACGAGATACGAACACTAGCCATTCGTAGAACACCCGTTAGCTTTGAAAGTTGGGCACTTTTTATGTTTTGAATAATATTTATTTAGCTTTTATCCTTAACTTTCTACGAAAACAACTTTAGTTATGGTTTTGTAGAGAATTTCACGGCGCAACTTTGGGTAAAACAATCCGCTCTAAATATCAAAAAGAAAAAACGTTCTAGTTAAAATACTGAGACCGCCATTTCTTCTGGCCCACACGTTAATCATCGAATGTTCTTACCTTTAAAAAAGTATAAAGCCATTCTGATATTCATATTATATAAACCAACACCATATAAATGAGGATAATCTATTCCAAGAAGAAATTGTTCTATTGATGATAATTCAAGATTTAACCATTTGATTTTATGATGAATCTGAGGTAAAATTTTTAAACAAAATTCATCAATTAAACTATCATCAAATCGATGTATAAGATCATTTGATGACCAAGCGAATAATGTTAATTTACTTATAAAAATTTTATCATGCAATAAATTATCTAATCGCTTATTTATTCCCTCTACTGAAAGGAGGGTCATTCGCCGAAATGAGGTAGGTTCGTTCGTTTGTTCGCACCGAACAAAAAAAATGTTCTTTTGACCGTCTGCAGCTTTCTTAGTGAAGTAGCAGAAAATAATCTGCACAAATCGAGCCAATCAGAGGTTTCGCCGATATGGGCTCTTAGCCAATGGGATTCGGCGAAGCCAAAATCGAACCAACCAGATGTTATCTCATATGGCTCTTAACCAATGGAATTTAGCAAAGCCGAAATCGAGCCAATTAGAGGTTTTCGCCTGTAGGCTCTTAACCAATGGGATTTCGCGGGGGCAAAATCGAACCAATCACAGCTTTTTCGAAATGGGCGCGTAGCCAATGGGATTTCATGGAGCCGAAATCGAACCAATAAGAGCTTTTTCGAAACTTGGTCTTAGCCAATGGGATTTTGCGGGGGCGAAATCCATCCAATCAGAGCTTTTTCGATATGGGCTCTTAGCCAATGGGATTTTATGAAGCCGAAATCGGGCCAATCAGGGGTTTTGCGGTATGGGTGCTTAACGAAGAGGATCTCACGGTACGGAACTGCAGCAAAGCAAGCATTTTTCGATATGGGCGTATAGCCAATGGGATTTGGTGAAACCGAAGGCCAGTGATGAGTGGTTTTTCGATATAGGCGATTAGCCAATGAGATTGCATGCAAGGAAAGCTAAGCCAATGAAGTGCTTGTGGTTGTGGCCCATCAGCGAATGAGATTTTGCGCAAGGAAAGTTCTGCCAATCAGAGGTTTTTTGATATGGTGAATGTAATTGTCGATTATCATTTAAATGTACACAATGATCAGGAGGTATGATCAGTGGTTGTTATCCACTTGAATCTATTCTTTAAACAAAGCTTTCCTGCTTATACGATCAAAATTGTATTGATTCTAATAAAAATTTTGCAATATTAAATATATCAACATTGGGAAAAAGTCAATTTAATTTAAATTCAACAATTGAGTCAATTTTAAATAATTTAATGATTGAAGAGTATAAAAGCTGTTGTTTTTTTAATGCATAATGATGTATATTTCTTCATAATGGCTTACCTTACATCATATAATTTCAACAGTATAATACTCCATATATACTTCAATCAGATGTTAGTTATGCATCATATCTGATATTCCCTTAAAGTCCTCTATCACAGTCTATAATAATCCCTGAGTCGTGTCTGTCACGGTCTGTGATGGGTTCAGAACCCTGTCTGTCATGAGTCCAAAGCCTGTCTATCGCCGTCTATCATGAGTTCAAAGATCTGTCTGTCACAGTCTTTGATGGGTCCAAAGCCTGTCTGTCATGGTCTGTGATGGATCTCAAGTCTGTCTGTCACGGTCTGTGATGGGTCTAGACCCTTTCTGTCACGGTCTGTGATTGGTCCAGAGTCCTGTCTGTGACGGTCTGTGATAGGTCTAGACCCTGTCTATCACGGTCTGTGATGGGTCCAGAGCTCTGTTTGTCAAGGTCTGTGATTAGTATACTGCGTGATCACTAAAATCACGATCACGATCATGATCACGCGTGATCGTGATCAAAAATATCAATCACGCAGTACACTATCTGTGATGGGTCCTTGGCCTGTCTGTCACGGTCTGTGATGGGTCTAGACCCTGTCTGTCACGGTCTGTGATGGATCCAGAGCCCTGTTTGTCTAGGTCTGTGATGGGTCCTTAGCCTGTCTGTCACGGTCTGTGATGGGTCTAAACTCTTTCTGTCACGGTCTGTAATGGGTAATTAATTAATTAATTAGTTAGTTAGCTAATTAGTTGAAATGTCTGTCACGGTCTATGGGGGGTGGGTCCAAATTTCTACCCCTAAACACTTCAACACTCCTTTCAGATCGTGTTTCACAAAATAATTAGTTGTCAACGAGTTCTATTTAGATTTAATGATCATTATCGATTTGATAGTTTTCACTTTGTTTTCAACTCGAATCTAATCTAATATGTAAATAGGAGAGAGAGATCCGATGTCCATAATTTGTTTTCAGTTGAAGAGTGCATCATTTCCTACAGGAATTATCTTAACAATAACTGATGTCTACATTGTTTTCGTTATTTTAGTCTGTCTATGAGGTAATCTTATATGATTAGAGTGAAATGAAGCATTTTTCAACTTTTATCAATATGAAATCGAGAGATAATAAAAAGGTAAACGTTGTCAATAGAATATTTGACCATACTAGTAGACGATATAATCAATTTATTCATGGATTTCTCATTATTTTTCTCTCAAAGATAAACTATTCGACAATAAAGAGAAGTTCGTTTTGTTTTGATAATATTTAATTTTTATAAAAATTCTATGATTGTTTTTTTATAAAGATCTGTCTTGAAACTGTTGTTAGTATGTGTCTATATATCGATCGTAGGTCTATATTAGGATAAAATTCGTTTTCTATGGATTAAATTATATATTTATACGATCATTTTTCATATATAGACTTTAATTCTAAGATTTGTTTTGTTTTTTCTCTCCAAAACAAAAATGACTAAAGTCAAGTAAAGAATAATAGAGAATATATAAAAGTAAGAGATTTTATTTGAAGTTAGTTTATTAAAAAATCTAATTGAAGTAAACAAAGAGATATTATTTCAATAATTTTAATTTCCCTTAATAATAATTCGAAATAATTGTGTTATTATCGTAGTATGTTAATTGGCTTGATTGCAGTGGTGAATTTCGAGGGACGGAGGGACGAAGGATGCAATAGGACGATTCCAGGGCATTTCAGAAAACTTTTTCCATTTTTCCTAGCGAAAACAAACGGAAAAAAACCAAATTCCTACTATTTCGAAGGCATCTAAAAATGTTGTTTGTTAGGTAGGAGGGCATCCCCTTCCAAAATTCAAAATCCGGCATGACTTCATTGAAAACAATCTCTGCCGTTTTTATAGATAAAATTCTATTTTCTCATTAGAAATAAATCTATCCTATTATGAGGAGAATTTTTATTATGAAAAGAATTTACTTTTTAAATAATAAAATAAATAAATAAATTGAAAAATATTCAAAATGATACTCTTATGATAATAGGATCTCAGATAACGATAGTCTTGAAATTATTGAAACATTCTAATTATTAATTAAATCATTTACTTCTATGATATATATGAAATTCTCAACGAAAACATTTTCATCACGATGCGTTTAAATTCAATGTGTGTGAAGAAAATTCTCATAAGAACTATATTATAGGAAATCTAAGTCAATCTTTGAAAGAGTAGAAGAATAATTCGATTTATGACAATTTTCTATTGATAAAAAGCCTTTTGACAAGAGATTTATTGGGATAGGTTCTATTTTATATATATATAATAGAATTCAATTTGATACTGATGATTAAAGAATATTTCTATAAACTTTTCTCTTTTAAATATCAGCTAACTTCCCTCGATCGTTATATTTTAAATAACGAGTTCTTTCTAGTTTTTTGTTTATCTTCTAATATACATTCAAATTTAGTTTATATTTCTTTTTTCTTCTAAGTTCTCTCAATTGAATTGATATTATAGTGATTAGTCCAGAGATCGTAGTTCTATCAACTGTTAATCGTAACGATTTCCATCAAGTAAAACAAATTAGGTATCAGATTTTATATAATGATAGACCAATTCTTTCTCAGTATTTTAATGGTTTTTTTTTTGTACTAATCTCTTTATATATCTTGTTCAGAGTGACGGTTGATTATTTATCTTGAATGTGTATTATAGAGATATTATTATTAATAGACATAAAAGAATAAATCTGATAGATATATTATTTATTTGATAAAATCAATAAATTTCTATCGCGAGATAATAATATATTAATGGCCTAAACCATAGTTCTAATCAATTTGAAGGATAAACTCTGGTAGATCTACCTTTTATTTTTCAAATAGAAATAATGTTTCACCGTTTTTTTACCGTTATGAAAATAATGGAGACAGTTCGTCTGCAGGAAAAAAATGCATTTCGATCAAATATTTCTCTTTAAATTCTTTAAATTTCCAGTTTCGGAAAGGATTTTTCCAATAAATTGAAAATTTTCTATCATTATGAGTTGATAAATACCTTTGAAAAAGTCTAGACATCAATTTTGGTTGAAACCGAACCGAATGAATAGTCTTTTACTTGTGGTCGAAATGAATCTTTTTTTATTTTCTTCTCTTATTTATCATTTGTTTTATTTAATATTTAATTGAAAGATTGAGGATGTGACGATAGAGAATATTCACATGCCATATCAACACTTTATGCTATTCAAACCGAAGAGTCAACTTGGAAAAAATCAAACGGAGATGAAAAGTTTTACTTAAACAGTCTTCATTGTTGAAATATAGGATGTCACATTGGACAATTTCTCATTCTGAATCTCTCAAAAAAAAAAACGTTATTATTTCGATACTTTTCGAGGCTTTGATAAAATGATTAGGTCGAGGAAAATGTTGATTCTTAAATGTTTTTTTAAAATTGTGTTAGAGTATGATTAAAAGTGATCTGACTCTTGTATGTGAACTTTTATTCTATTGATAAAAGTTCCGTTTTTCTTAGTATTATCAAAAGCGCTTTTGACCGTTCTACCATAGTGGAAGGTTTGTTCGAAAATGGCTTAAAATGTCTTAGTTCCTATTTCTGTCAGTTCGAATAAAAAAGCATTGGTTTATGTAAAAAGTAGTATTCGATATATCTGCTCTGTGTAAGGCGACATATATCGTTAACTGTAAAAAAAGAGTGTTAGATGAAAAGGGAATGTATGTTGCTTTTACTTATTCTATTCTAAAAAATCATATTTCAATTAGTAGTTTCTCCAAGAAAGTTCAGGACCCAAGGGTACCCCTAATACTAGGACTTGAGGAACTAAGGATACCTCCTCTATAGTACGACTTGAGAACCCAAGAATATCCTCAATAGTAGAACTTGAGGACCTAAAGGTATCTCTCTATAGTAAGACGTGAGGACACCAGAGTACTTCCAATAGTAGGACTTAAGGACCTTAGGGTACCCCTCTATAGTAGATCTTGAGGAGCTAAGAATACCCACAACAGTAGGACTTGAGGACCCATGAGTGCCCACGGATAATGAAACTTGAGGACCCAGGGTACGGTCGAAAAATAGAAATTAAGACTTCAAGGGTGCTCTCGAATAGTAGAAGTTGAGGACCCAAGACTACGAGTTTGGTGACGAGGGACACATACCTGGCTGTTATCCCTATTCCAGGGTAACTGGTAATTTAACGGTAACTTTCCATCTATGGTTGGAGGTTCTTCAGAAAAAAAGGTACTTGCTATTTTTGTGTTATTTATAACAAATAGCAAAGAGAGATATTGTTATTAATAACAGTAATAATCAATTCACCCTCCTACTGCAGAAATCTCAAACCGAATCCGAACCCGAACGCAAACCGTTCAGTCCAAACTGCGAACTCGAGTTCGGGTTCGGTGCATGCCTAGTCTCAAGTAGACTAGACTATATAAAAAAATTTCAATGTTTTTCAATATAATCTTTAACAGATATAGATTGTTCAATATATTCATGTTTTTTACAATGTCTCTCAATCGATTGAGTTTTTCTATTTTACGAGGGACAAAGTGAACTTCTTTTTTTTTGCATTGTTTAGCTTTTTCCACCATGAAGGCGACTTATAAGAGTTTTCTCACTTGGAACAACGTATGAGTTTCTCATCAAAGTACATCTACACTGAATGTTTCAACTCTCTCTAATGAGCTGTTCTCAAGATAGTCTGGAACGAAGATATGTTCTTAACATTAGGACGCGTCATTCTGAAGTTCTTCTCCTGCAGCTGATCTTCTCTTCTCAGTTTTTTCGTTACACGAATCACCATCACTAAGATAAGATCCAAATTCAAAAATTCTTTTTATAAAAGGTTTTCTTTGAAATACTAGCTGCAGTCTTACCTGAATGAAGAGGAGTCTGATAAACTATGCTAAACTAGTAATGCAAGCTTCTATAGCAGCCTCCTGTATTCTGACTTCCTTGAAACGTATGAGCAGATGGCCAATTCATTGTGTACTACTAAAGAATGCGAAATGAAACAAGGAACTGCTGATACTGAGAGCCAGTATTGAATGGAACAGTAGAGACTATTTGACAATGAATTTACGCAAACGAATATCACTAAAGTGCACCGAATGAACTTTTTCAATGTTTTTTTTTGAAAACGATGAGTAAACGTAGAGACATGAAATTTTCTTTTAAAAGCAGATTAACATGAAAGAACAGAATACACTAATTGATAAGCTGCTGTAGTTTTTCACGAGATTTTTTTCCAAATCCGTTTACATTGAGATAACTACCAAGATTTATATGTTAGAAATTGCTGTGATTATATGTTTATGTATAGGTTTAATCAGAATGCAATGCTCCAGAGATCTGTTTCATCAACCACAGAATGTAGCGTCTCTTTATCGAACTACAAGCATGGAAATTCAATAAAATATAGTTTTCAATTTTTCTGAATCATCTTTATTTAATTCATTCATAAAGAAATAACTTCGACAGGATGCCTATATATTGGAATGGAACAAAAGTAGTAACAAAACCAAATCTCATTTACTAATGTTACCAGGCTTCGTGTGAAGATCCCAGGATTGGAGGATGTGAACGAGTCTTAAAGCAGCTGAGCTTGACGGAAGCAAAATTGTTTTTTCGCATTAGATCTGATAATAATGTTTCTCTTGCAACCTAAAATGTAACAATTTTTCGAAACCTTCTTATAAAATTCGACTTTCTCAGACAAATTTTCCAAAAAACAAATCATGTATAATGGAAGAAAATTTCTAACAATTTTGTTGCCAAAGGCGTCCACGCTAGTGATGACTGTTCGAAAATAAAACTGTTCACAAGGTATAAAACAGTAAAACTATCATAAAAACAGAAGAATCGTAAATATTTTTAGGGCAAGTACAGTCACGTAGCTATTTCTTCGCGAAACAAAAAATTTTAACATCTCACAATTTTCTAGCAGAAACTATCGTTTTAGGCTGAGTTTCGAGTGAAAACCAGCTGATTTCTTCAACTTCCCATAGAACGTCATGTTTTCCACCGACATTCCGACGACGTTTCCAATTATTCGGAAAAGATTATCGTCTGACTCTCCTACGCACTCGGGACACCTCTAGAAGATGTTTGTGAAAATATCTCACAGTAATACTTTAAAAATTCAAAAAATTTACCTATTTTACTGACTAATAATAAATAATTTTCAATTATTAATGGTGTGTGCATCCCTACATTCGTGAGGTCTGAAAATAGGTCAAGTCAATGAAATGAATTTTTTTTTCCTTGTTTATTTTATTTAAAAGCAAAAACATTCTCCATACGGGTACAGATAACTGATTGATTTAAATATATTCAACGGCTTTATTTACGTATATGAGTTTTTAACAAAAATAATTTTCACCTTTATATTCAATAAATCTAAACTGAAAGAACATATTATAATAAAGTTCCATAGTTATGTCAAAAAATGATGTCATCTTATGGATGGTCATATGACAACACTAAAAGAATAATATTACTCCAACTCTTAATCATTATAATAAGAGAGTTACATTAGTTTTAAAATATCTTGATAATTTTGAATAAATATATTTTAGAATAGAACAATAATGTTGACTATAACCTATCAGTACGTAATAAGAGAAAATGTCAGACATTGTTATTTTCATTTTATGCTCATTAAATGATGAATATTATTTAAATAGATTCCTCTTCGTTAACCCTGATATAAGCATTACTTATGCCAAAACATTTTTCGACTTCATCTAACTTTAACTACACAAACTATTTATTTCTAAAAATAGGTTACGCTTTCTTGTCTATTGTTAATATTCGGATCTTGAATGATGTGCACGGAGATTTTGACGGCGCTGGCTGAACCTATGAAGCATGGATGATGGTGAGGATGTGAGTGAGGGTGAGAACGCTGAGCTTGAAACCGTTTGTTCGGTTTCTAAATCGTCATTTTTTGTTTCGTGTGCAACGTTCGTCGTGCACATCATTTATAGAAGCTTAATATTATTTTAACAAAAAACTCTTTCTATATTATTAGTTAGGATATATTTCCTTTTTAATTGTAAATCTATTTCAATTTTATTTTTTCTAAAGTATATACACATACAGATAGGATATTTTCATTTCTAACAATTTCCTATCCAATATCTATTTTCAATCATTATTATTTATTACTTCTATCTCTCTGTTTCAATGCTGCTTTAATTCTATGTAAATCAATCTACTTTTATTCATGTTTTATTTAAATAACAAATTAACAATAATTAATCTATTTGTGTATGAGGAAAATAGTCTTTTATATATTCAGGAAGTTGTTTTTTTTCAGCAGAAAAATTATCAGAATATCTCGGATATTGTATTTCTCCAGATAAATTTACGTAATTAATCTTCGTACAATTAGTTCTTGTTCTATTTCTTGTGAAATTGCGTGTCACTTGTTTCACTAATTCATAAATCATATAAACACGAACACCAAATGCTAAATTGATTTTCGTATCGAATAAGAATTGTTGATAATAATCTATGCACGTATCAATAAGATAAAATTGTTTAAGATAAGAATATTTAATGATTGGTAAGTCTTGATTTTCTAAATTGTTTATTAATTTGTCGTTGTTCATTATGTATAGTTAATTCTTTCATCAATGGAAATGATTCAGCAATTCGAAGGAAAAATTCATGTTGAAAAGGACGTTCATCATATAATTCAACTTGACGAACATATTTAAATATTCCACCTTGAAAATTATTTGTTATATTATTATAATATTTCAGTTGATATGGATATGAATAAATATGACAATAACCTTTTTTTACTTTTGGAAAATAATCAGTCCAATAGATAATTTGTTTATCATTAAAGTTACTAAATATCTTTTAAATATCATCATTTTATGGTAAATTAATATCATTATAAAAGCTACTTAATGAACAAATATTAAATGTGAATTTGTTTAATTGTGGAATATAATTAATAATATTCATCTTGAAATCATTACCATCAAAAAATCTTTTTTTTATTTCACCAACATTAATATACAAATCAACCTTTTCGAAATTTCACATTCGATATAAAAGTGGTAAAACTAATTCATCATAAACAAATGTTATTGTTTCACAATGTAACCAAAAGGATTTTAAACTAGGTAGTTTTTTCTAGAAAAAAACAATATTATTAATTCATTTAAATAAGATATTAATTCAAAAAATAATTTACCATATTGTTAACTCTTCTCTTCTTATAGCCAATGACACTGAGATCAACATAAAGTCTATGAAGTTGATTGAAATCTCCATCAAGTAAATAAAGACAATCATAAAAACTTCTCAAGCAGACATGTAATTCTAACAAATTTCTAGAAATAACAGTTAGACGTATAAAACAAAAGGATAATTGTTCATCGGAAATTGAAGATCGACCAAAATAAAAATATTGTAAATTAGGAAACATAGTAAAGATACGATTAAATATAATTGCATTATTGTTTGTTAGATAATCTTGTGTTCTCTTTGTACTAATATCGATAGTAAGTGATAAAAGTTGATTATTCAATTTACGAATTATGGAAGTTTCATCTAATCAATGATTATATTTATCTATAGTTTATTGATTTTGTTTTCTTTAGACTAATTTATTTATACTGTATCTCAAATGTTATATTAACTATCTATTTTATTCGACATATTCTTTTTCAAAAATTTATTTTAAATTTTAAATTAGAGATAATATCAACGTATTTTATTTTTTATATAAGTACATAAATTTCATGAAAGATCATCTCTTTTATGACAATCTTCTTCTCTTCATACTGATAAATAGGAATCAAATTAAAAATGATTTTAAACTTAATCATATCTCTATAATTATCTAATTAATGAAACCAAATATTTATCTATGAATTTATTTCATTTATAGATTTCATATGTCTATTATTGAAAGAATAAAAACAAAAATATTGTTACTAGTAAAAAGATCTATACCTTTTTTTTCTTCAATATTATCTAAACTAATTCTATATAAATTAGGATAATTTTTAACATCAAGAATACCTTCCATTCAAACTGATTCAAGATGAACCCATTGGATTTTTTGATCAATCGAATGTAAAATATCTGAATAAAATCGATCAAGTATTGGATCAGGTAATGAATAAACTAAACCATCCGATGTTGACATAAAAAGAGACAAATCATTTGTAAAAATCGAGTCATGTACAATTTTATTTAATCGTTTATTAACACCTGACAAAGAATAAAGTATTTCTGCATTAGACAATTTTTTAAAAATATAAATAAGAATTTCATCTGGTAAATGATTCAATTGAATAGATGAATATTCCATGATTCGTGTACACGATTTACTGTCCGCGGATTTACTGTCCACGGATTTACTGTCCATTGATTGGAAAAATTTTATTCCAATTAACGCTATTTTTGTATGAGGATTTACTGTCCATTGATTGAAAAAATAGAATATTTCAATTAGTGTATTTTTTGGTTGAGGATTTACTGTCCATTAATTGCTTCGAAGAAGAGAAATTAATAAATGAGTAATGGTCTTGACGATCAATCACTTTTCTGAACAAAAAATTATATAAATGTTGAAAAACAAAAAAGTCANGGTGGCCTTAAATATCCTATTAAATTTAAAGTTAATCGACAATGTTTAATTTATCGAAATAAACGTTGAATATAATCTATGTTAAGTAAACATAATTTATTATTATAAAAAGTGAAACTGAAGAACAAAGACGTGATCAACGAATTTTATTATAAAGAGAAAAATTTCTTTTTATTATCGATCAATTATATCATGAAGTAAGTAGAAGATAACCACAAGATAAATATAATCAATTTATCCTATCATGTCAAGGTTAGTTATTATTTATTAGTTTTATCAATATATTTTTTGAACATAGATTTCTATTGAAAAAATTTGTTATGTTTTTGTAATAATGTTAGAAAAGATCTAACAGTTAATGTACTACCAAATAAGAAGTAACCTGCAGTGCGAAAGTTATTGACTCATTTTTCGGCTTCTTAATTACTCTTGGTTAGAAATCAAACTTTTTCGCTTTTTTCGAATATATATTCAGAATTTCTTTCTGAGAATATTTTGATAGATGAGAAGATAATTATCTGAGTCGTTCCTTGAACTATAGATCTTAAGCATATGTCAAAATCAAAAATAACATTCCAATGAAACACTATTTTCATGGATGTTTTGCGAAGATGATTTATATTGTATTAAATAAAGAGACATCTGACGCAAGTCGATAGTTGTTGCCCTTATCGAGTTATTCGAATTGCATTTACTCTTTTAATTCTGGCGTGAACATCTCTGGTGGGAATGCAGAATTAACGGAAAAGATCGAAAGAATAAATAAATGTCTCCAGTATAAATTCTGTATGACTATTGGTTTCGATCGTTTCCTAGTTACACTTCTCAATTATCGAATTGATAGCAGTCAGGAAACAAAACAAGTTTTCAAGGATGATTTGAAATATTGAATATTAGGTTTTTAAAATAATGAAATAAATCGAAAATGGTCATTGCTCGGACTAACTCTTTTGAAGGGAGGATAAAAAAACAATAAGATAAATATTTGTTTATAATTAAAATAAAACTCGTTTTTGTTTCTATATTTATGATAAATTATTTATATAATCAGAATTAAAGATAAACGAAAGAATAGTCATCACAATTGTAAATTTTCTTTTTCTTTTTTTTCTTATTATATGATATTGAAGAATTACGTTGATTAGTTAATTATATAAAATAACCATTTGTTAAAACTGATCCAAGTGTTAATGGAAACTCCTATTCATTAATTACCATATTTATCATTTGGAAATAAAGAAAAAATGTGAACATTACTTTATTATTTTAAATCATATTTTCAATTTTATCAATTTGATCTTGAACAAACATTATCAACAACAACAACAACATCAAATGATAATCATAGTCAATTAGATTTAGATTGTTTTTGTGAAATATGTTAACATTTAGATAAAAAAATCTCTTTATGGTTAAGAATTTGATGATCTCGTTAATGAATCAAATTGTATTATTGATCAATCTATAAATTCTATTGAAGCCAATACACCACAAGTTAAAACATATTTAGTTAAGTTTATTAACTCGTTTATCATATGGACATTAACAAATTCAAATGAAACATTGGACGATGTTTTATTTCAATGTTTACATTAAATTCAACAATTAACAACAACTGGTAAACGTTGCTGCTTTAGCTGAAGATCTTTTACATTGATTCACTGAAAATGAACGAGTTGTAAAACAAAATTAATAGTCTTAGAAATCAAACACGTTAAGAAAAAAAACGTTTAGCACAAGAAGCACGTGATAGAAAAATGTTTGAATTAAATTTAACATAAATAACACGAAATAAAAGTGCATTAGAATCATCAGGAATAGCATCAAACAACACCTCTATCACATAGTGATTTAACTGATTAAACTGGTTATGTTTGTTGTATTTGTTGTGAAGGTTAGAAATATATTCCAAATAAAGTTTTAATTATTTATAGATTTAGAAAAAAAGTTCATATTCAACCATATAAAGCTAAAAGACGAAAAGCATCTAGTTATGTAATTGTAACAGATTTTAATATAATAGATATTGAATATCATAGATCAGCTATTAAACAAGCACGATAAAGAGATGAATGGAAATGAGATTTATTAAAAAATCCAAATACACGATCTAATCGTTTATTACTATTATGAGGATTTGATTTTGCTCAAACACAATTTACAACATCACTTGTAAAGTTTGATTTTAAGAATTAATTTTTGTTTTTTCCTATGTGATTAAAATTGTTTACTAACGAGGCAACATCTCAAACATAATCTAAAACAAAATAGATCTTAATCAGTCTAGAAAAACTCTCAAATGTTGTTTGCCTCTACTAATCTTTCGGTAAAAAAATACGAGATTTTTACGAGTCTATCCGATTTCTCGTATTGGTTGGGAGTGTTTAAAAAATGTTCAAACTCCCCTGATCCGTGCAGATTTATGGCCGAACATAAGAATAAGGTTAACTGTGTGCGTAGAGATAAGTATGGATCGCGGGTAAGGACACATGGAACCAAAGTTTTTGTGCTCCCGCACATCTCTATATCGGATAGATTCAGAGGTAGAATAAATACATGCTCTAATCATGGAACTACACCAAATGATTAAAAACTTTTGAAGTGATATTTTGTCCATAACTAGAAAAAGGCTAAAAGGATAGGTGTCCTATAGGCCTTTCTTTCGGAGTTATGACCGGTTTACTGGGTTTTTGGCCCATGGGAAGATATTTAGAAAAAAATGGCATGACGAAATTTTGTCTATATTTCGATCTGATGATCCTTAGTATGCGCTAAAAGTTTGAATTAGAACGGATCTTTCTTTCTCGAGATAATCAATATATAAGAAATGAATTGTTTTGTTTCTGTCAAATGCGTATACTTATTTCCAATTGATTTTCTCGATAAACTAAGATCCGTTTTGGTTGAAACTTTTATCGGTTAATAAGGATCATAGAGCCTACATATAGGCAAAATTTCAGATAAAAAGTTCGTCATTCGATTTTTCCTAATAGGTCCTTCTCTATCTAGATGAAAATGAGAAATGTTTGTTTTAACTTCTAGTCATAGACTAGAATTCTAAACCTATTTATACTCAGAGATTATATGAGAACTTGTCACCAGTATTTACAGAGAAGATTTTGTTTTGAGAAAAAATTTCCTTATAATTATTCGACTATTTTTTTTTCTTAATTTCGATATGATACGAATATAATTGAAGTAAGAGGTATTCGTTAAACATCAGCAACATTATCAATTGATAATATAAAGCTTTTATTACTTGGTTTTGCTAATGTAGAATAATTTAGTGAAGATAGAGGTGGTGGTGGTGGTGGACGAGAATCAAATATAGGTTTGATTCCATATGAAATCCATAGAATTGTTTATGTTCTTAGAACGTTTGAATAAAAAATTCGATTATTTTCGATTGATCTTTTTTCTTCTCTTATATTGATTTGTAGAACTCGACAAATTGAAGATGAAGAAAACTAATCTTATTCGTCCTGATTTATTAATAAATGAATCATTTGAAGTTGATGGTCCTTTCTTTTTAACAACATTTTTATTAATTATAATCAAACCAAATGATTGACAAAAAAATCTTCGTATTTTTCTTGTAAAACTTCTTCTTACTACAGATATTCGATCAGTTAAGACATCAAATGATCGAACAAGTTAATAAAAAATTAATTTTAGAATGAAAACAAAATGTTAAATCTAATTATTTGTCTTATCTAGAATTGCTTCAAAACCATTAAAATAATTTGCAACATATAAAACAACTCTTGTCTTTTTTTGGTCTTATCAATGGATTTTTTGTTCATATGTTAAGTTCGGTAAAATAAAGAATA